TTTTTTTAAAATAAAGAAGTGAGTGATTTTCAGTTTCCTGATGCCCTCATATTTGTCATCTAGATTACTATTTTTCTGAATAGTATTTGATGCCATATGCTTTTAAATTTCTCCTTATTTCACCATCATGTTTACAGAACGTTTACTTGTGTGTGTCATTTTCAGTGTTGGGGTCAAAAAAGTAATCCATTACTTTTTTCCATTTATACTCCATGCAGAAGGTAATGTGTTGCAGTACTTATTTCATTACTTTTGCTTCCGTAGCTGCCCATTCATAATATAATGTTAAACCTTATATGTGCCAACATATCAGCAAAAAATGTATATATATTTATTTTTAATAATTGTTTTTTTTTTTGCCAAAATACTTAAGTAATTTTAAATGTTGAATGTAAAACAAAGGATTGCATAAGTCGTAGCCCCCTTTGAAGGTTCTTTGGTGTGATGAGACCAAAATTGAGCTTTTTGGCCATCAGACTAGGAATTATGTTTAGCAGACACCAAACACTGCACATCAGCACACCATGTCCACTGTGACGCATGGTGGTGGCAGCATCGTGATGTAAGGGATTCTTCTTAGCAGCAGGCGCTGAAAGTCTTGTAAAGGTAGAAAGTAAAATGAAGCTTAATGAGATCCTGCAAGACAACCTGATGCAAAAATTGCAGTGTCCAGATGTCCAACGCTGTTTGACACCTATCTGCACAGAATTTTCCAAAGGGGGTGAATACTTGTTATAGGTACTATACCCAAGATCAAGATCCTTTGTGCTCTTTAATAAAATATTTTCACAGAGCTAGCAGCAAAGTTGGCAGAACCCGCCCAGATTAGAAAGAGTGGTGAGTTTTATAATTGCTTTACAGGCAAATGTAATGTGATTACAGTAATGCGTTATATCCAACACTGGTCCTTTCCCTTGTCTTTTGTCTGCGCTGAATGTGTAGAGTAAGCCTTCATTAAATCCTTTTGTCAGACTTCAGCATGAAGTGGCTCTCACTTTACATGTTGGCTAATGCCGCCGCCAGTCAGACGTCCCCGCTGTTACTCACATTGCTCTCTCAATAAGCTTCCTCTGCAGCTCTCCTTCCTCTCTGGCGTCGAGGAAGCGGCCTCTGACTGCCAGAGCGGCGCTGGCCTGTGACGAGTTGAGCTGAATGATGGCCAGAGACAGAGAGGACAGGACCGCCGAGCTGAGAAGGAGTTTCACACGGTGAACATTTACAGCATCAGCCTCGCCATTATATTACTTTGCAAACACACACAGGCGCGACCTTCATTCAGTGTGTGAAGCAGGCAGACCGGGCTGAGTGGTTAATTTATTGTGTAACTAAATGTTCGAATGGATGAGAAATTATTTACATGGGGCCATCATTTCTGCATGAAAGCTCCAGTCTTTCAGCAACAGGCAGTCTCCTTGGATTTTCAAAAGCACTTTGCCTAAAGGTTCGCTGAGATTGGCATAAAATAACACATCTAATCAATTGTTATCCTGAGGGTGAGAACGCCTCGTTGATTAAAGATGTCAGAAGATAATGACTTGTTTAGGCTTATGAGAAGGCCGTAGGCACGCAAATAGCTCGGTGCGCAACAAGAAAATTCAAAAATAAATGAAGCATTGTGATTATAGAAGCAACATCATCACCTGTCATCAGTAACATCTCGGTCTGTGGTTAACACTCTGAGCATCCTCTGTCCGTTCCTCCGCCTGTACCTGATCTGCAGCTGGATGGACACACGGCTGCCAGAAGCTGGAGCTGGCACTAAAAAAAGCACAAGATTAACACAACCTATGAGAAAGAGTTCAAGGTTTTTAAAGCAGCAGTCTGCTTGAGTGGTTCAGGAGCACAGAAAAATTACATGTTGCTGTTGTCACTGCCTGGGGTGGTTAATAGATTTAGTTGTACAGCTGAAATGTTGCAAAAATACTTTGGTGGGGGAGTGATTTAAACAGCGCTCTGGCCTGATCAAGGATCAGACTGGCTCCGATGAACCATCTCACACCCATCTGATGCTCACAATACACGCTGCTCCTCTCAGGCAAATGTTCGGTGATCCCAAGTTCAGGTTCAGCTACTACTGAATATATTTATTTCTATTAAATCCAGATGTGAAATACAACTTGGCAACACTGGTAGACTAACTGGAAGAATCTCTTTTACTTTACCAATGTGTTTTAGCACAGGGCTTTCATCAGGAAAGAGAAATTTATTGGTCTAGAACATCAGAAATAAAGCAATTCAAATTGATTTACACAAAACATAAAAAGTGTCAAGAATAAGTGTGAAAGGAACACAGAACAATCTCAATAGACATCTTGACACAATGTAAAAAGCTGAATGGAGAATAATAATAAAAAAAGATTAAAAGGAAAGTAAAAGTTACAATGCAGTGTTCAGTGAAAGGCAGATGGAAACAAAAGTCTTTAGCCTTGATTTCAAAGAACTGAGTATTGCAACAGACCTGAAGTTCTCTGGGAGTTTGTACTAGATATGTGCTGCATAGAAACGGAAAACTGCTTCTCTGTGTTTTGATTTGACCTTGGAGACCTTGGCTCTAAAAAATTCAGTGCTTTATAAACCAACAGCGGTATTTTAAAATCAAGATGGGAAGCCAGTGCTCAGACTTAGTGAGGACACAGGCTGCAGCGTTCTGAATCAGCTACAGCTTTCTGATTGATTTTTTTTAGAGACCTATGAAAACACTGTTACAGCAGTCGAGCTGGCTGAAATGCATGAGCAAATTTTTCTAAGTCTTGCTGAGATATAAGTAAGACATCAGAGTCCATGATCACACCAAGATTTCTGGCTTGGTTTGTCATTTTAAATACTGATTAAAACTGATTGCTGATTTTTAATTATTCTTTCTTGGCTCCAAAAACAGTTTGGGCTTCATTTAAGTGAAGAAAATTGTGGTACATCCAATTGATTTGTTTATTGTAACCTACAGAGTACCTGTTTGGGATTATTGTCCCATGATAACATTGTTAAATAAATTTGTGTGTTGTTTGGATTGTTACTGTAACATACTTGGTTGTTTACTGTAATCTGACCTAGTGGGAGATGTTGAACAAAGGAGGCCCCAGAATGGAGCCTTGGGGAACTCCACAAGTTATTTCTGTTCACTCATATCTGTACTACCCTCCAGACAGAAAGTAATCCTTGTCATTTAAGTGGGATTCAAACTAGTTCCATACTGAAAGTCCCACCCTGTTTTCCAGTTTTTCTAGCATTAAATTATATTCAGCTGTGTGAGATCCAGTAATACTAAGGCGAATTCTGTCAGGCAAGTTTATGTTTAAAAACACTGACTGCATCAAGGTTGAATCCTAATCAGTTATCTAATTAGATCTGGACACATGGGCAGCCAACACTAAAATACTGTACAGGTAATGGAAATTAGTTTTGCATTATGGTCAAGGAATCACTACCATAATTTACATTGATCGTCTTGGGACTGTGCATGTCTGTGCAAAATTTCTTCTTAATCCATCCATAAGTGTTAACATATGGCATTCTGGATGAAACTAGTGGACCATGCAACTGACCAACATCGCAATTTCTTAGGTGAACGGAAGCTACCGTATTTTTTTTAGCAACAGACTGGTGATATTTGTCTCTTTCTTGGCAGTTTCTGCTCTAGTCCTCTTGTTTTCTAAATCACAGATAGTAGTGTGAAATGTATTCAGTTTTATTGTATCGTAGCAGCGTCTGTACAGGGTCCATTTTATTTTTCTTGATTAGTTGTTGTTTTTAAAGGTAATGACTCACTTCACAATGTTGTTGTCTCTCTCTCGCAATGATCTAAGATTGGCACTTAAGGTTTGCTCGGTTGTCAACAACACAAATCGTCACATCTTGCAATGTTTGTCAGATCTGGCAGGACACGGTATTCCTGAGAAATGCAGCACAACTGCAACTGAGACTGGAAAGATAAATGAGCCAGTACTGCCACTTTACCAAACCCCCGTTTTTTTTTTTCCCTCACCTTCTGTGTCCTGTTCATTGGCACCAAACTGCAAGGTGAGCTCTGTCCCTGGGTTCACGTTCCCCACCTCTCTGGTCCCTTTGTGTCCTGCCTCCCTCTCTCCTCTCATTCGCCTACAGCAAAGGAGAACATGAGTCAGTGCTGTGGGCCTTATTATTAATGTCATTTTAAGTACTTTAAATCCTTTCATCTGCCAAGAATCTCTAGTGGCCAGTTTTTGTTGCAAATACTAGTATGGTGGTTATTGTGAATTGTGCTATACAGTGCAGGTCTTACAGTGATTTTGGCAGCAGTAATGCTATAGTACAGTGCGTAGCAATGGTCCTGTTTTCAATAATCTGTTCAAATTCTGGGTGCAGCCTGATGGGACTGGATATTACCACCTAGAGAAAAGGAGACAGGACACATTTTCAAAATGAGAAATGCAAGATTTGATGAGTAATTTACATGATCACATGCAACACAATGTCATGCTATCCCTTACTTTCCCACCAGTGCGATCAGCAAGTCTTCCCAGCTCATCCAGCCTGCAGTCTGTTCCCTCTATGGACAGCACAGACACTGTCACACTAATGAAAGAAGGAGTTTTTCAGAATGACCTTCATTACAGCAAAGTCCATCTGCACCTTTCACTGAACTCTTAATGGCACTACATTGCTTTCATCAGTGGAGCTTCAAATATGTAAATTGTTGTGTCTATAAGTTCATTCATTGTTTGTTTAGCTGGATAATATATAACAGTATTTTTTTTAAAAGTCATTCCTCTATTTAAGGCAGATTCGGACATATGTACTAACCCCTGATTAGCAGCGTACTCCCCGAGCTCCTGGTAGAAGATGGTGGATGAGAGGAGGGTGCGAGCGTCATTATCCTCCACTTCTAGATTCCCCAACTCAGTGTTGGCCTTCCCATCTGTACAGATAATCACCTTCAAGATCAGCAGGAAAAGCAAACCAGGATTGTATTGTTTAGAAAAAGCTCTTGTATGGGTATGCTTTCAATTTCTGTAACCATCATATTCAGTTCATGCTTGGAATGCAGGAAAATGATTTTGAAATACTCATATAACCCTGCGAACTTGGGCTGTCCTGGGAGACAAAAGGCTAAAGTGGTTTGATTCCAGCTTGGGACCTTTGTTGCATATTCTAACTCTCCCTCTCCCCTATTTAGTGCCTTTATCTGTACTCCCAAAGAAGGTCCATCGGTCAAACATTCTTGTTTAAAATAAGTATTTTAACAAGGCATGCTGGGTCCACACAAGTTTCATGCAAAGCTTACCTTTGAGCCCGGCTGTCTGGAGGCTGTTGCAATTGCAAGGAGAGCAGCTGGACCCAGAGCTGTGGTTCCACTTGCAGATAATCTTTCAACAAAAAGAGGAATGTAATTTTCTGAATATAATAAATTGACTTTGGCCATCAAGTTCATGTATGTTTTCTGGACTTGGAGAAGGCCTATGAATATACCTTGTAGTTGGGTGACCATTCTGTGAAACAACTGGTCCTTGTACAACCAAAGTGAGAGTTGTGATCATATTGTTGCCCTTTGTCTCACATCCTGCTTGCAATATTAATGGGCAGGATGTCAAGGTTCAGGGTGTCTGATTCAGGAATGTCAGAGTCACGTTTCTGCTTTTTGCCTGTGATATGGTTCTATTGATGAGACTGACGTGGTCTAGGGTCAGAAACTCTAATTATGAGGCAATGGTTCTCTACTGTAACCTGGTAGATTTCTCCCTCTGGGTTTAGGGTGAGTTGCTGTCCCGAGGAAAAGAGTTTGAGTATCCCATCATCTTGTTCATTAGTGACAGGAAAATGGAGCATGAGATAGACCGGTTGAGTGGTGCAACGTCACCAGTAATGTCGGCGTTGTACCAGACCATCACAGTGACGAGGGAGCTGAGCTGATAGGCAAAGCTCTCAATTTACTGTTGTTGTTCCACTCCTCACCTATGGTCATGAGGTCTGGGTAGTGACTGAAAGAATTACATCGCAGACACAAGAGGCTAAAATAAGTGTTGTCGGGAGGGTGGCTGGACACGGCTTTGGGGATAGGTCGAGGAGTTCGGAGTAGGGTTGCTGCTCCTTTGCACCCAAAGAAGCCAGTTTAGGTGGAATCAGATACCACCTAAGATAACTTCCTGGTGCCTTACTTTGGAGGCTCTTGGGGTACATCCAACTGACGCAAGGGTAGACTCAGCACTCTGGGATCCCAGAAGAAGAACTGGAAAACATCGCTGAGGAGAGGAACGTCCGGAATTACCTGCTTAGCCTGCTGCTACCACAACCCGACCCCGGATAAGTGGAATAAAAAGGATGGATGCGATGGAAAGCATCCAATAAAAGACAAAAATGAAAGAAGTGTGCATTCATGGCTATTTTCTTCTTACCCCATAACTTGTCTGTGTAAGCAGTTCTTGGTCTGTGAAATTGGAGGTGGAATGGGAAAACTGGCTGCAGCCTCTTTCAGGTAGTTGCTGTCCATCAACTCAGCGCCGCTCAGACAACGTGAGCTGACATTCTCATTTCCATGCATTATCACCTGGAGATGCAAACATCCAGACATGACGAAAAGCAACAGTAACAACTTAATAGAAGAAAATATGAAAGCGAGGAGAGTCAGAGGGAAAAATTTGCATCCAAATCTACTGAACAAAACAGGAGAGCTTTTTCAAATCAAGCTTCTACAGTCTTATATGTACCTGATAGTTGAAGGTGATAATCCCCACTCGTGTGTCACATTGTTGCACACTTAGTTTGTGGACACTCTGTAACACAGCTTCCTGGACAAACTGGTAAGAACACAATGATTTTTATCACCAGTGGCTGCTTGATGTTAACTCTGTACAGCTACTATTGTTGTAATGCTGCAAACAAAGTTGTATTTGATAAACTCCAACTAGAGTGCAGTATGTTAAGATTCATTTTCATCCCCCTAAACTTGAAAACTAGAGGAAATATTCACCTGGAGACGGGATTTGTGAACAATATGCTCTCCCTCTGTCACCTTGAAACAGAAGCGACACCACAGGTTGTATTTATGAACGCCAGCTGCCACAAACAGCATCATGATGCCAAGAATAATGTGTCACTTATGTTGTTGTACCTGGGAGGTGATGCTCATGGAGCCTGAGATGTCAATGCAGAAGAGCAGCAGAGCGTCAGCTGCACACATGGGTTTTTCATCAGGGTTGAGGAAAAAGAGACCTTCCTGGTAACCATTTAGGGAACTCTGTGATAGCCTGGGAGAGCCGCTCAAATTCGGTTCTTGACAGAAGTAACACACATTAACCTGCAGTACGACAAAAGGAGAGAGTCCAGCCTGCAGTAAGAACCAGTCAAACCAATACACTCATCTAATATTGCTTATGCTTGACTGCCTCGAGACATTTGTCGTGTTATGTATTTCCCATTAGTGATAACAAGGAGATTTATAGGTGTCATTTACATTTGAGATTAATGATTACGAACTTATCAGTTGCGGGACAAAAGTCAAATTACCACATTATCATAGCAGGTGTCCAGCACTGAGCCACACTGGGAGCAGGACGTGGGTTCCCCTTGTATGGGTTGCACTGGAAAAACACAAGCTTTATCAACACTGTGCGCTAATAAGATGGAAAATCAAACTAGACGGCTGGTAATGAAAGTATGAAGTTATAATGATGATAAAAGTTTACTGACCTCTTTCGTCTGAAATGATTTTTTCTAAGCTGAGGAGGAGCACGTTAGGATTTCCAGGCAGAGGCCCTTTATCTTCTGAACATGAGTTGGGAATGATATGAGGATTCAAAATCAGCATTTTTAAAAATTATATCAGTATTTTGATAGTTTGACAGAGACTGGTGGAATTGTCTTTACCAGCAGGTGATGTGGCAAGTGGTTGAGTTGAAGAAGACTTCTGAGAGGAGGACGGAGAAGATGGTGATGAGGGTAAAAGCAACAGGTACTCTGGCAGCGACCTCATAAATGAAGGTCTTGGAGGTAGAGCTGGAGCTGAGGTTGAAGATGGAAGCAGAAGACATTGAAGCGGTATTTAACAAACTGCAAATCAAACCTGAAAAAAAGCAAACAACGCTGTCTGTTACCTGATGCTGGCAAAGGGCCAATATCAGCTGGCAGCTTCACCTCACCCTGGGTGCCTTCTGGTGTGTTGTAGGAGTAGTTTGGGTCGTGGAGTTTGGCATTTAAATCCAGCTCATCTTTTGGTAGGTCGTAGGTAAACGTCTGACTGTTGGTGTTGTGGGAGGTGAGTGGCTGGTTGTGAGAATGGAACTGGCTATTTCCTGAAGGTCTCATATGTGGGGGAAGAAGAGCTGGGTAAAGATGGAGTGGAGAGTGTTAAAGAAGTAATTCACCGCAAAATTAAATCTAATCATACCGGTGTGTATCAAAGCTTAGAAACAGAATGATGAGAAAACACACTTTCTTTGATTCTCTAGATTGGTCTTCGTGCCTTATTGACATTATGAAGTCAATCAGATATCAACATAAAGTGGCTGAATCACGTTTTATACAGGTTCCTTTTCAATGCCACTGACATTACTGACTTCTTGTGATTACAGATTTCCGATTTGTAAAAACCAAGTACTGGTATCAAAATCAGAAGAAGTTAAAATGGTGCTTTCCCAACGTCTTCCTGCATATAGCTTCACTCCTGGTGCTAAATCTGAACTGGTTGTAGTTGTCGGATTATATTTCTGTCTGTCTCCATCAGCTTTGTGACTGACTATTGACTGGTTCATGGTGTATCTTGCCTTTCGCCCAATATCAGTTTGGATAGGCTCCTAAAACTCCACAACCCTCTGGATACACCGGTATAGATGCTGAATGTTCAAGATATGTGATTTCTTCTTCCAAACCAAATACAATGCACCACTTATGATGTCTCAAACATGTATAGACATGACCAACACCATTTGCAGTATGATTTGATACTGTAAAACTATTTGTATTTTTTTGTATTTTTGGCTGAACTGATCCTTGAACACCCTCTGTAAAGTCAACAAATTTCCCAAAGTGGGCTTGAGTCAAAGAACATGTCTAAAGGTTCAGTTATTTACCCCATAATCTTCTTCAAAACACTGTTTTTGTAGGTTTTTTAAGGTTGTAGAAACGGCCATCTTTTGAAGAATAGGGAAAGCACAAGATTGAGAGGATCCTTTGATGATGAATTTGGCTTTGCAGATACAGAAGGAAATGTGAAGGTCACTGCTTTAAGATAAATCTGGGTTCAGAAACTGATAGAGCAGTGATTACTCCCTTCTTATTACCACTGCTGCCCTTGCTCCTTGGGCAAGGCCATAACCCCAGACATCTCCCGTGGAGCTGCTCAGTGGATGTTACTGGCCTGTGGATGTACCGGGCAGCTTCCAGGTGTGAAGGTTTTTAACTGTGTGAGCTGCTTCTAAGAAAAACCTCTCATTAAATAAAGGCTTTTTAAAGTGTCTGCATTAAACTCAGTGGCTTTATCTGTTCAAGCAACTTCAGTACAGTATGACGTGTTTGAAACCACACAATAGCACAGTTGTTGATTTGCTGCAGTGCTACATTCACTGTACCTGTTTTTCGAGAAGGTGATGTTTTCTGAGGAACCGCACTGACGAAAGAAGCTGCCTCCAGTTTATTGTGAAATGCTGCGTTTTCGTAGACGGGATTGGGCTTCCCCACCTTCTTCACGTCCCTGCTCTTTTCCAACTGTTCAATGATCTTAGGAGAAGACTGGATGACTTTCGGTGATTTTGCAGAACTCGTGGGGGGAGGTGGAGGAGGATTGCTTGGACGGATGCGGTTAACAGGAGGAAGGAGAGCTGAAAGGCATGAAAAATAAACATGAATATACATAGGCTGTTAATTTCAGAACGATTTGCAGCGAGAGAAATGTGAGCACAGACAAAACAACTGGTGCAGCGATGACCTTCGTGCTGCGAAGAAAATGTGACTCAGGTGGCAGATGGCTTTTACTGAGTAAAGCAAAGTATCTGAAAGGAATGCCTCCTCTAAGACAGACAGGAGAGGTTGTGTATGTCACTGATTACATAATGCATAATGGTACTTAACCAACCAGTCACCCAGAATGAAAGGAAAAATCCACCTACAGACACTTTTACATAGTTATATATCATCAATCTTTGATATTCAAGTCGCTATTTTGTGATTACATTGTGGAATATACTTCTGTAATCTTTCCCTTCGCTTCAACTGCATTTAATGACTTCCTACATTTCCCAGAATTTCTTTTGACATCCCTCAGAGAATGCAGAATGCCAGGAGGTGACAGACGCAGCAGAAAGTAACAGCTTTATGCCTCTTTGAAGGATTTCTTCAAACTGGTGAGTCATCAAAGGAGCTATTTGAATCTGTGACTGACTCTAAAATCTGATGTTTCCTGTTCTTGTTATGGATAGCTAAAATACTTTCTTTTGTCAGACTCTACTTGAAGCTGCAAAGTATCTGTCTGTCTGGTTAGTAAACTGTGGAATTGAGAAAAATACGACTCAACAGCCAAGTGGACGCAGCAATGTGACATGTGTCCTTTTAATACGAATATAAGTGTTATTACTTCGCAGTTTTGTAATGTAGTTCGTGGGAGTGTTTGAATGAAATCACACCTGAGCGTTTAATGATATTGGCATTGGATCGTTGGCTGTCCTTCTGACTCGACGGTGGTGGCACATAAACAAACCCACAAGCAAATTCCATTGTGATTCTGCTTGTCAGTCCTAGAAAAGACATGATTTAACAGACTGAGGCAACCAAGAATATTTTAAAGAGGATACTTTAGCTTAACAAAGCAATCACAGTACATTAACAAGCACTCCAATAAAAGAAATGTAACAAGAAAACACAGCTAACTTGAAGAATTCCTCTAAAATAGGAAAATCTAAAATGTACTTACACGTGCAGTGTCCTCTGAATGCTCACCGTACAGTATGAAACAACCATAAACATGAACTCTCGCAGGTCTCAGGAAGGTTTTAGCTGCTGTTGAAAGTCCTGCCATTCATTAGTTACGTCTCAGGCATCTCATCCAACAGGTTTTGTTACTCAGACGTCTTCTTTCTTACAAACTGTGCGTGGTTTGTACACAAAGCTGCGAGGTTGGCCGGTTAGTCAGATATTTTATCGCGGATTGCTTAACTCTAGTTAAACATTTCATGAATGTAAACAAAATGGGTGGATGAAGTAGAGCTGAGCTGAGAAGCAAGGCAGTAAAATGTCAAAGGTCAAGATGATTGATAGTGATAAAATGCCTTTCAAAATAAAGATCCCACACAAACTGCCCTATGAAATAGCTCCACATCTTGCAACTGAAATATATGCACAGTCTCTATAAAAATGATTCACCCTCCTTTGAAGCTTTTTAGAAATAATAATTCATGGTCAACATAATTGATGAAACATTTCATAACAAAAAAATCTGTCATTTCAAAGTAAAAATAGATTTCACAACAGACTTTAGCTTAATGCTCCAGGTCACTGTCTTGTTGGAAAACAAACCTTCTCTGATGTCACAGTTCTCTTCCAGACTGCTTTAAGTTGTCCTACGGGAGTTTCCTAACCTTTGCTGCATTCCTTTCATCCTTTATCTTTACAAGCCCTCCAGGGCCTACTGCTGCTGAGAAGCATCCCCACATCATGATGCTGCCGCCACCATGCTTCACAGTGGGTATGATGTGTTTATGCACTCAGATGACCTGTAGCTCACTGATTGTGTGACTTCTAATACCAATTGGCTGCGTCTGTGTTGACGTATTTGAGTCACGTTGAATGGTGTGAATATTTCAGGGGTTTTTTGTTTGTTTGTTTGTGTTTTTGTTTTGTTTTTTACGATATGAAACATCCCCTGTGGGCAAAGAAAAGTGCTTGGACCAGAATTTTCATTTGCATCTGAAATATTTTAACAAAAAAGTTTAATTGTCTGGTTAGTAATGTTCAAAAACTACATCCTACAATTCAAAATCTGATTATGCAAATATATACAGCTTGGTGGTCATTATGGTCTAATAATTATTTCCCAAGCTGTATGTGCACAAGAGTTGTCAGCTTTCCCCATCGCTCTTGTCCCAGTTGTAAACGGGATCACAACTGACTTGAAAACAAGTGGCTACATCACAACATCCCTCTCATGTGTGCGTGTCTCAGTCACACAAACAATGTGAAAACAGAATCAATATCTGCACGTACGTCTTCCTGTACAGTGAAAGTTCAACGTTTGAATGAAGGAACAAGAAGCAAAAGGCATCTCTAAGCAGAGGGGGACTTAAAAAAATTATATGAACAAGATGGATTAGTCCCAAAACACTTATACTTTTATTTTGAAAATCCATTCCCTCAATCAAAGTTACTGCTGTGTGCTCCAACCTAATACTTATTAAGTAAACATTAACCTTGATTGCACACACTTATGTAAACCTGTGCCTTTTAAACCTCATCCGCTTTATCTTCATTACAGTGACTAAATGACTTGAACAGAAAATAAATATCTTCTTTTGTTCTCTTTAGCTTCATCCTAACATGCACACCTGCATGCAAGCACACTCACACATATACACATTCAGCACAAACAATACATTCTAGTCTTTGATAAGTTAATTCTTATTGCAGACAAACCAAGTAGGTTAGGATATTAAGGCCTTTTACGTTTCAAAAATGGCTGGGAACAGATTACATCTGACATGAACTCGGAATCAGTGTGACGACATCTCAGACGTTAAACGATAATAACTGTTATTTTCAGAAGAACTTAAAAAGCAACACTTAGTGAGGAACAAGTTCAGGACGTGACATGTTGGACACTCGTCACTCGGCCACTTCAACATAGTTGGCCGGGTAGAAGCCTTCCTTCCCTCCGCTCAGGACGCCTCGACACCAGCCTTGGTCGTCCTCCTCCTCGACCTTCAGGAACACTTCACCTGGCAGCAGAAAGAATAACACTCAGCCGAGCCATGGCCACACAAAACCACACCACAGACACAGTTCAAACTGACGCAATTTAACATTTTCACATTACAAACAACCCTGTTTCAACAAGACGTTTTGTGTATCATAATGCGCAGAATTCCAAAGCAAGCTGGAGGAGGGATTTTTATTTTTGGAGTCCGTCTAATGGACACCTTGTTTAATATTTAATATAAAGTAACTACTGAGTACGGTGCAGCTCTCTGCAGGTCCCAATATGGCACAAAAGTGCATCAAAATACACTTTCTGCTATGACCTGGCTCCAAACAAACCATCCATATATTTGCAATCTTCAACTTCTCCCACTTTTGTAGTTAGAATCCAAATAGTCAGTAGTTTGGAGGATGTTTTGAAAAGTGTTTTGCCTTCAGGTGATGTATTGGCCTTAATTGACAGTGATGGTTGCTGTTTGCTAAGTTCACCCTAAGCTTCATCTAGTTGCCTAGATATGGGGTTTCTGGCTCCAAAAACATTGGCTGGAAGCCACGCAGTAAATCCAGGCCTCGAAAATTCCTTCCAGAATCCTTGCAGATGTTACAGTGCGTCTCATTTCTCTACAGTTAAGATTTAAGCGCTTCAGAGTATCGAACCAAATGAAAGAAATGGAAATAAATGCACACGGCAAAATATACAACCTGCTCTCATTCTCAGGTGTCAGATACTGATATTTTGTTAAAGCTGCTGGTCTCACAGAGATGCACCCAAGATGCTCTCTGTACCGCTCGCATCAGTATTCAATCATGATTAACGTATAGAAGTTTTACCAGTTTAAAACAGACTCATAAGGACGTTGGATAGACGGGGGAACATAAGTGACAGGATTTTCATCCAAGAGAGGTCATGTGCCGGACCATTATGTTTTTTCAGTTAGTTTTCAGTTATTTTGCAACTTAAGTCTCGTTTTCACTCATGGTTTGGTTACGTTAAGGGTTAAGTTTAGGAAAAATGGTTTTGGGTGAAATGCATCATTTCAACACGTGTTAGAAGGTAAAGTTGTTGCTACTTGAAGAGGAACAACAGTGAAGACACCAGAAAAGAACATTTGCTATGCACTCATGCTGTCTTTTTCTTAAATTCAAGGATTTTTTCAGGTCTTTTGGACCATCTTGTGCATAAAAAATAATTTTACAGAATGTTCAGTTCATTTCAATGTGATGCTAAAGGGTCACTGTGTGACAAGATGGTCAGTGAGACGAGACAAACATCTCCTCAAGTAATTTTTCAGGTCTTTGCAGAAACTGAGTGATGTTAGAGGTATAATTTATCCACATTAAAATGTTCAAAAATAACTTGAACAATGGTCTATTTTATTGAGATTTTTATTATTCCAATTATTTCCAATAATGTTCAAACCCACAGAAATACATAGTTTTATCCAATGTAAGGATGCATTTTAGAAATTCTGTTTCATGTGTAGCAATTAAATCTGACTTTTAAAAAAAGATGATTCTACAACATTGATTTTTTTTTTCTCCAAAATATTAGGATATGCAAAATAACGAGCTTTTTCGTGAACACACTGACACACTCTGACTTTTGGCCAATCTGTCAGATATGAAAGAAATTCCACACGAGTCCGTTTGGTCCTTCAGGCAACTTCCAATGTTGGAAACAAGTTGTTAAGAAAATGCTTCAGCATCACAACACACGTCATGTAAAATTGTTAAACTGCACACAACAGACTTGTGTTTATCAGCCTTCTATTTTCCCACTCAGTTCTTTTGTTGATACGATAGTTGTAAATATGTTGGGAAAAAAAAAAAAAAAGTTGCTGGAACACTGAGAATAAAATGACGTCATCATGTCACACTTTATGTGTCACCTGCTTTAAAGGACAGCTCGTCACCCTCCTCTCCCACGTAGTCGTACAGAGCTCGCACCTTCACACCTCCAATCATCACACTAACAGGAGAAGACACGTCAAATGCCATAAATATGACTTAGGCTCCACTGTTCAGCTCCCGTGTATTGTTGCGTATTTATTCATTCATGTGATATTCTGTTGTGAACACACCACTCAGAATAACTTACGGTCGGCTCTCCTTTCCCTTCTTGTCTCTTTTCTTTCTCTTTAGTTTCTTTATTGGTGGGACCCATTCCTGAAGGAAAAACATCCTCTCATCAACACGAGAAAATAACACACCAGGTAGAAAAGGGGTAAAAACAATGAAAACACAACTAAATTAATTAATTACATTTTTTTTTTCTAAATATCCACTTAATGAAAGTCTTGACTCTACATGTGAACTTGGTAAAGACTTCTTGTATTTTGAAAGTTTTCTGAAATTGTATGTGTAAGTATGTAAATGATCAAATGTCCACTAATGTACATGCATTTCCAGAGCAGCAATCTAAGCACTGGATAAAGGTACAAAATGTTTGTTTCATGTTCGTGACATACTAGAGTCAAAGTTTTTTTTTTCTTTTATAGAGGATTTAATTTTGGATATTTCTTTAATTACTCTGTAAATCAGAAAATCCTGTTAACAGCCACACACAAAAACAACAAATCAAACAACCATATTCATAGGAATTAAATGCTCAGTAAATCAAGTTATATATGACCTACGAACAAATCCCTCTGTGAAAACCTTTAGGCGACAGACAGGAATAAGACTGTGAGGTTTGATTCAAAAGCTGTCTATTCTGAAAAGAAACAACTTCATTTAACTTTTCTGACAGATACAAAGCAAATTTCCACCATCCGCCATTTCTTCTCGAACTACAACAAACAACAGTCTCTGAGGAGTTTTAACTCTAACAATGCATCCTAAGTCTGCTTATTTGCCGGTTTTGTTTCTTACAAACTTAATTTAATGAGTTGAGTGAACTCAAAGCTCTTCATTCATTCAACTCATCATTTTAAGTCAAAATTCAAAAGTTATTTAAACTCGTGTTTTTAAGTTCTAAAGTAGTCTGAAAATAAATGTTATACATAAAAAGTTCAATTAACCAGAAATGATGAAAACTCACATATTTACATCAGTAAATTAAGAAAGATGAGTTGATTTGACTAAATTACTTTGTGATATTTTGTTGTAAAATTCTATGCATGTTTATGGGAAACCACAATTTACAGGTAAAAAATCTAACAAACACTACAAAACTTCCCCAGTTGATTATTTATATTAAGACAGTTATTTGGAAATGTAATGTTTAAATATGCAAATGAGGTATTATTTAATTAAATATACATCAATTTCCATAGAAGTCCAACAGACATTTATGTAATAGGTTTTTAATGTAATAAAATAAACAGCTAAAACATGTATTTTGTGATTTTTTCTTTTTTTCTAGAAGCTAAATACCCCCAAAAAACCATCAAAATGGACCAATGCATGTCATGTTTTTGCCTGTAGTGTCTTGTTATACTTTTGTCAACATAGTTTTAGATTATTTTTTCATGTACTACAGTAAAACCTTTGTGCATACCTGAATCTTTGGCCAGTCGGTGGGCATGCCTGGACCTTGATTGTTCTTCCACCATTTGAGATCCTCTTGCTCATTGATGGACATCAGAGTGTTGTGGAGTTCACTGTAAACTGCCTTCACACTGACACAGGAACACAAAGCAGTTGATACACAACACTAACCCAGTCATTTATATGCATAAATACGAACACAAACCGAGGCGGCTGCTCACCTCTCGTTGTTAGTGATGTCCAGATGTCTGTGGATGGAGAGGAAGGCTTGCTTCAGGAAGCTGATCCTCTTCCTCTCCTCCTCCTGCGACTGTTCAAAAATGGCCTCCATCTCCTCCATGTAGCGAGGCGTGTAGGCCGACACATCCTCCAGCACCTTCTCGTATCGCTCTCTGGCCTGCAGGCAGCTCGGGACAAACCATTTTATGATGAGAAGCTGTGTACCCGCCCCAGGAAGAAGCTCTGCTGTGTTTCTTTAAAGGAGGATTTGATATGTATAAATCATCTGGTGCTCTCTGCCGTTCCCATGCTGGGCTCCATAAACACTGAGCGCAGCAACAATAACACATGTCCATACAAGGGACCTGCTTGGAACAGAAACTTAAGGCCGATGCTGGTGTTTAGAGTCGATAGTTTCTCAAGTGAATAAATATCAGCACATGCATCGGGCCGACAAAGCTTTCTTGGTATGCGACATATTTAACTGTCACATGTGGTGAATCAGGAGGGAGGAAGTTATGCTGTGAATGCGTCCCTTATCCAACAGACTTGGAGCGAAGCGCTGCAGTGTGTTTTAACATCTCTCCTCACCTTTTCCTTCTCCTCGGCAGCGTACTCTCTGGCCTCTGTGATCTTCTGCTTTTTCTCTGGACTCATCTCAGAGTTTTCGTTTGCTTGCTTCTCTTTGTCGAGGGCCGCTTGCTCCTTCTGACAGGACTTGTGGTACGAAACTTGAACCTTGTCCAGCTGTTGAAAGCACATGCATGTGTTCATATTATTAGCAAAATACGTTCACCGTTTTGGGAAATGTGCTTGTTTGCTGAGAGTTAAATAAAAGTTAAAAACAGAGGGAAACAGCTTGCCTTATTCTTTCAAAAAAATAAAAACAATCAGCTGACTAGAACCTCTTCAGCTCACTGAATATCACAGTACATCATGTTCACACACACAAGAAAAATTCAGGTACAACCAATATTATGTTTCCTGGAGTCTTAATTGTCCAAGAAACAGTCTGGCACATAACGTCCCATAACACAGCAACAGGTCTCACTTGACATATGGCTGCTTTTTATCTTACACGGTTACCATATTTCCTTTCTTTTTGCAGCCAATAATGCAGGAGGTGGGTATAAAAAGAAGACTGTGTGTACACCAGCTATTATAACCAATATAACCAGCTTCATACAAGAATAGGTACAAAATTATACAACAAAACACATGACTATGTTAGGAAAAAAAAAAAAGGGGATTGAGACTTGACCAAAAACAGTAATGCTCTCATCCCCCCGTTACATCACTCATGCTTCACTCGACTGCATTTTGATTGGGTTTGTTTCCGCTTTTCCTTTTCTTTTTTTTCCTCAAAGGCAAAACATTGGTCAATTTAAATTGCTTTAATTGATTTCTAACATGGGCTGCAAGGTGGCTCGGTGGTTAGCACCGTTGCCTCGCAGCAAGAAGGTCGCAGGTTTGCGTCCTGGTGAGGACATCTGGGATCTTTCTGTGTGGAGTTTGTATGTTCTCCCCGTGCAGCGTGGGTTCTCTCCGGGTTCTCCGGCTTCCTACCACAGTCCAAAGACATGTTGGTGATTCTAAATTGTCCGTAGGTGTGAATGTGAGTGTGCTTGATTGTCTGTCTCTAAGTGTAGCCCTGTGATAGACTGGTGACCTGTCCAGGTGTCCCCTGCCTTCACCCTGAGTCAGCTGGGATAGACT